GCATCCGCGCACTTCACAATCTTCAGAACTTTTTCTACATTTCAGTTTTCTTTGAGGAGTCTATCAGATGGAGACTTGAAATCTGTCACTTCGGGCACGTTCAGTATTACTACTGATTCTTTTCGATGTTCATCGTTGTCAGGTGGAGGAACATCAGCTGGTTTTGTGGTGGAGGTTAATCCATTGACTTTGGTTGTGATTTCCATCAGAGACTCTTTCCCTCCTTTGCTTTCACTTTTGGCTTCCGCTGAACAAACTGCTTTGACCTGGGTGGAAAGATCATTAATGGAATTTTCAAGTTTGGGAATGTTCAGTAGAAGTTCTTGGTGCCTGTTTGCCATTCGTAACTGTGATATGGACTCCCGTAGGAGGCATAGTAGGCTTTCTTTGGTTTGCTTGGATGTGATTTTATTGAAGTGTTCGGCGTTGGCGTGTACAAGTTCTTCTATTGTTGGAAAGTAATCGCGTTTCTGGTGACCATCCATTGCAGTGCAAGAAAATAATCCAGAAGGAAGAGAGGAATAAGAATAAGAAGGGAATGAGAGAAGGTAATACGAGAGGATACCGCCTGCAGACGCAAACGTCCAAACTACAGGGATTAAACACTAAGCCCTAATCTGATTATTACTGGGCCACTCTAAGAAAATTAAGTTCCAAGAAGCTACGCTTGTAATTTCAGAAAAAGCTTACTTGATGCTCAATCCAGTTCTTAGTCAGGGGATATAAGACCGGGACAACAAAGTCCAGTTCTTAAGTTGGGGAGAAAAGATCGGGACAATGAAGTCCAGTTCTTAAGAGGATATTGGTCAGCTAGTTGGATGAGTTTCTGATCGTCACTGTTCTTCGGGTGAAGGGCGTGATATAGAGAACTTGCACCAATAATGTGGATCAGTGAAATATGAGGCAACCCCGGCTACCTCGTAGAAACATATGACCTGAAACTATTAATAAGTTTATCACAACAATTAGGCTGGACTGTCAACAAAGTTCAGTTCATTTTCTTTGTTGAAAGGACGACAAACTCCACTATCGAATTGAAAACTTAAAGAGAATTTTATGGAAAATTGTTTTCTTTCCTTCTTTCTGTCTTTTTTTCCTTCAGATCTCTTTTATCACACCTTGCAGAAAAAAAACGACTCTAATTTGAACAAAAAAAGTGTTTGTTAATACTGGTCGGAACGTTCTGTGCTTATTGCACAGTAACCGGTCATTTTTATTTTGTTTTTAATTTAGTATAATTATTAATAATAATTAGTAGATAAGTCGCGATGGTTTGTTTTTGATTTTTCAAATTTAGGCTCAGTTTTTTTTGCGGTTTGACTTTTGATTTCTATTTGAGTTCAGTTCATTTTCTTTGGTGAAACGAAGGCAAACTCCACTATCGAATGTAAAATTTAAAGAGAATTATATGGAGAATAATTTTCTGTCCTTCTTTCTGCTCAATTTTACTTTTTTCGCGGTTTGACTTTTTATTTCTATTCAAGTTCAGTTCATTTTCTTTGTTGAAAGGACGACAAACTCCACTATCGAATTGAAAACTTAAAGAGAATTTTATGGAAAATTGTTTTCTTTCCTTCTTTCTGTCTTTTTTTCCTTCAGATCTTTTTTATCACACCTTGCAGAAAAAAACGACTCTAATTTGAACAAAAAAAGTGTTTGTTAATACTGGTCGGAACGTTCTGTGCTTATTGCACAGTAACCGGTCATTTTTATTTTGTTTTTCATTTAGTATAATAATTAATAATAATTAGTAGATAAGTCGCGATGGTTTGTTTTTGATTTTTCAAATTTAGGCTCACATTTTTTTTTTTGCGGTTTGACTTAATTTTTATTTGAGTTCAGTTCATTTTCTTTTGGTGAAACGAAGGCAAACTCCACTATCGAATGTAAAATTTAAAGAGAATTATATGGAGAATAATTTTCTGTCCTTCTTTCTGCTCAATTTTACTTTTTTCGCGGTTTGACTTTTTATTTCTATTCAAGTTCAGTTCATTTTCTTTGTTGAAAGGACGACAAACTCCACTATCGAATTGAAAACTTAAAGAGAATTTTATGGAAAATTGTTTTCTTTCCTTCTTTCTGTCTGTTTTTCCTTCAGATCTTTTTTATCACACCTTGCAGAAAAAAAACGACTCTAATTTGAACAAAAAAGTGTTTGTTAATACCGGTCGGAACATTCTGTGCTTATTGCACAGTAACCGGTCATTTTTGTTTTGTTTTTCATTTAGTATAATAATTAATAATAATTAGTAGATAAGTCGCGATGGTTTGTTTTTTGATTTTTCAAATTTAGGCTCAGTTTTTTTTTTGCGGTTTGACTTTTGATTTCTATTTGAGTTCAGTTCATTTTCTTTGGTGAAACGAAGGCAAACTCCACTATCGAATGTAAAATTTAAAGAGAATTATATGGAGAATAATTTTCTGTCCTTCTTTCTGCTCAATTTTACTTTTTTCGCGGTTTGACTTTTTATTTCTATTCAAGTTCAGTTCATTTTCTTTGTTGAAAGGACGACAAACTCCACTATCGAATTGAAAACTTAAAGAGAATTTTATGGAAAATTGTTTTCTTTCCTTCTTTCTGTCTTTTTTTCCTTCAGATCTTTTTTATCAGACCTTGCAGAAAAAAACGACCCTAATTTGAACAAAAAAAGTGTTTGTTAATACTGGTCGGAACATTCTGTGTTTATTGCTCAGTAACCGGTCATTTTTGTTTTGTTTTTCATTTAGTATAATAATTAATAATAATTAGTAGATAAGTCGCGATGGTTTGTTTTTTGATTTTTCAAATTTAGGCTCAGATTTATTTTTTTTTGCGGTTTGACTTTTGATTTCTATTTGAGTTCAGTTCCTTTTCTTTGGTGAAACGAAGGCAAACTCCACTATCGAATGTAAAATTTAAAGAGAATTATATGGAGAATAATTTTCTGTCCTTCTTTCTGCCTTTCTGTCCTTCAGATCTCTTAATCACAAAATGCAGAAAGAAACGACACCAATTTGAAAAAAAATGTATTTTTGAAGACTGGTCGGAACGGGCTGTGCTAATTGCACAGTAACCGGCTGTCCTTGTTTTATTTTTCAATTAGTATGAAAATCATTAACCTTGTTTTCTTGCCATCGTGTAGAGTAGACAATAATTCGGCATTGAATTTGCCCTTGATCTATCCTCTCCAATCCGTGCTTCAAGTTGATAGAGTTGATGTTGTTCAATTGTTGTAAAATGAATTTTTTCTTCATTTATTTGATGATCGTTTAAAACTGTAAAGACAGTGATTTGGAGAAACTAACTCTTCTTTCTTTTCTTAAACGGAAGGGGGGGAAGAGAGCCGTTCATTTCAAACTCAACTGCTAGAATGAAAAAAATTGCGCTCTAAGCTAACCAAAATGCAAGATGCGAAAAATATACAGGATCGGCTAAGTTTCAAAAATTGACTTCAATTTAAAAAAAGTTCTTTGAATACGATGAAGGATGATGTCCTGTCCACTACAAAAGTGTTCACTGTGCATTCTAGTTAAATAAGCTGAAAGTACTCTCTGAAGCCGAAAATTAGGAATCATATAACAGCAGCGATGTTCCTAAAGGTCTTGGCGTGAGCGATAATCTGGAAGTTGACAAAATACATGAAACTGAGTCTATTATGGCCAAAACTTTTGATTAATAGGTGCCAATGTAGGTGTTCAAGTTATTCCATTTGCTCATTGCCTTCATGTTTGTCGAGAGGGAAACTAACCATTCACAGTTTTGCGCGAAGAATTGTGAAGCTAAAATCCCTCATAAGAAGAAGTTCCTGGCGGCTTAAAAGCATGTAAAGAGTGTCATTGTCTTTAAGGTCTTGAGCCGTCAGCGAGTTGTCCTCATAAAGATCTTGAAACAAGGTGCAATTTTGCTAGGATCGGTTGAGTTTTATGGAAAGAAGATCGATTAAATGGATTGTATGAAGGTGGAGGTTTTTTTCACCAAAGTTAGTGAGGAGATGAATTGTTTTGAAAGTTTTTTCCTGGAAAACGGAAGAGCCAGAGGTTCAAACTTTCTCGTGCAGTTCGTTCCAATCATTTAACACAAACGGAGCCGTTTTGCGATACTACAAGGCTAATTTTTTCCCAACCTAAGTTACTGCGATGTTAGTGCGACTTTTGGTGGCAGTTTTTGAACAGGATCCTGAATTGACAATTTATTGGCCTTTGGTTTTGATATTTGATTACATATAAGTTAACACAGTTGTTGCTTTTTAATTGATCAAATCAATAGAAGAAAACTATTTGTTTTATTCAGCGGTACAATCAAAAAATTCTTTTTCAGAAAATTTTCTTACTCAATATATCTTGCGAAATTTTTGAAATGCATATGTTCACGCTTACAATAAGCTAGCGTTATTAAACGGGAATATAGACTTTTTTCTAGTTAACAGCTAGTTTAACAGAATCACTTGAATCATTTGATGGCTTGCTTCATTATTGACGGTAATTTTTAAGAAAAGGTAGGTACAGTAGTGTGTTGGTATGGAGTGGGGCTATGTCACGAAGGATCAAGCTTTCAAATCCGAGACCGTACCAGTTTTTCTAATTCGATGAACGCAGTTCGGACTCTAAGTCGCGATGGTTTGGTTTTTTCAAATTTAGACTCAAATTTACATTTTTCGCGGTTTGACTTCTGATTTCTTTTTAAGTTCAGTTCATGTTCTTTGGTGAAAGGAAGGCACTATCGAATGTAAAAACTAAAGAGAAGTATATAAAGAGAAGTATATGAAAGCTCATTTATCTTTGTCTTTCTTTCTTTTTAGTTTTCGGATTTCTCAGGGGAATAAAGAAAAACGTTTTCACCCAGTTTGGTCTAAAGTGGTTACGTTTTAGTAATAAAAATGACAATCATAAAAGGTTTCTTAGTTTGTTAACGTTATATAATCTAAAGTATTGGCCTTTTCCGCCTATTTTAATTTGAAATGTTGCTGCTTTTCATATTAAATAGTGTTGGGGTATTTTGGATACTATTGTGATTGTTTCAGGGTGCAAACTTCATTTTGGGCTTCATTCCGAAATGTGGCAAGAATCAGCTGCACATTACAATGACCAATGCTCCGTGGTCTGATGTAAGTTACATTGGGGAGGGGTGGCAAAAGATTTATCGCAATAGTCATCCCCTGTACTGAAGATTTTGGCGCTTGAAACTTCTAGAAGTTTTGATTTTTTTTCTGATAAGGTTAGAAGTTTTCTGGTTAAGTTGAAATAAGAAAGATTTGATTTTCAATTATTGGCAAAGTTTGAACTTTGAAATGGTCGTTGTTTGAGTTTTTTTAGTGAAACAATTCGAATATTTTATGTATGTATTGGTTCAACGAAAGCGCGAAAGTTTGAATCGAACAATGAGGGAACTTCTTCAGTTACTATTTCTATATGATTTTTACTAGTTCTAAAATAATTTTGCCTTCATTGACAGATAATAGTCAATGAGCTACCAAAAAGTTCCCTAATTCAATCATCACGTTTGCTTGCAATACATTCATTTAGACTCGACTTGTTTCTTTAGACGCATATTGTGTTTTGTGCTTACGCGGTCACGAAGAAGAAATCTACGGCGGCAACTGCAGGAGCATTCAGTACAGTAGCTGCAATGGGCCAGAGTTTCCGCTCAACCCTGCCCAAATAATTGGACTACGATAACTGAACTCTGATTGATGAAGTGTCAATTGACTAAGTTGAGACACCAATTCAGGTGTATTTTTTAGAAAAATCTGTTCACGCTCTAATTTGGTTTTTGGAAGCTTGACTTTTGTTTAAGAGTAATGAACGCAGTGAAGACTCTTATATAGGTCTTTCTGTTTTTTTTTGTTTTTTTTTTCAGGTAAAAGTCTTAAAATTTTGATGCACTTAGGTATATATGCACTTTTTGAGTTCAATTGAAATTCATCTGCTGAAAGTGACGTAAATAGCACTCTCCAAATACGAACGTGCAATTGGCGCAAAAATTCGTGAACAATTTTTAGTTTCCAAGGTGAAATTTAATTTTAGGATTTCCAGCGGAATAAAAACTATCTGTTTCAGTTTTCTCAGGTTGGGTTAACTTCATTTTTTTTTGTATGCGTTTATTACTTTTTACCAATCTTCGATTGGCTATGTTTTAATTTTTAATTCAATGCAGCTGCATAGGGAAGACAATTTATGCTTTCCATTATCAAAAGTGCATTTGGGTCTATGACAACAAGCCGAAAGAACTCCAAGCCGAAAAGTTAAAAAGTTTGATTATACGAAAGGTTCATGTTTTAATTATGGTTCATGCTTAAATTTCGACTCTTATTGTAAATGAAACGGTTTAACACAAGCGAGCTGGTGAGCGTAGTGTATTAGTATGACTCTACATTTTTTCCAATCTAACTCGCAAACAAAAGGTCCCATGTAGTGACACTTTATCTATTATGAACGATCTGTAGCATTGAACATTTCATAGCATCTGTTATCTGCTTTATCAGTGGATAGTGATGGGCGTTAATCAATTTTCCGTGGCTTGGAGTTAAGAAAACGAGGCTCCAAATCTCGAGGTCGCATGTTCGACTACAGTAGAAAGCTACAGTTATGCTAATTCAAGGCTTATTCCTACCTTTTCTGGTTCCACTTTTAGAGCTGCTGTTTGACTTTTGTACCTTATCTAAAGTTATACCAATTCGAGGCTTATTTCTACCTTTTCTGATTTCACTTTTTAGAGCTGCTGTTTGCGATGCGCAGCTTTGCCTGTGTAAAGCATGTAATTTTGATTCTGAAAAGCTCAGCCGGAAGGAAAGTTTGTGTTTCTTGTACTTTGAAGAGTAATGAACGTAGTGAGTTCTCTGGTATATGAATTGGTGATTTTTTCAGGAAAACTTGTTCATGCTCATTTTTGATTTTTCGCAGATTTATTTTCAAATTCATATCATTTCCTTTAATAAAATCCCACCCTGCGCGACTGATTGCTGTTGGTTTGGAAAGTCGCCGGTTTCTAGGTTTCCCAGCGTAATTACCCTTGCAATCAGCAAGTGTATTCAATCGAGTAGTAGATTTTTTTGCCATAAATAACTTGCTCACAATGGTTCACGAATGGCTCGAATTTAGAAATGACATTTTTAGGGACTTTCAAAATGAATTCAAATTTTTTTGCGTCTCCGGTACTTTTGGCCTGGAGGTAGCAAATACCCATTAAACGGCAAAGGTCCTGGATTCGAATCTGTTAGGACTGATTTTGTTAGGAGATTATTGTCGGCTTGTTTTTCTTTTTGTTTTGTTGGCTTATTGTCGACTTGTCTTTTTTTCTGTTTGAGAGTAATGAACGTAGTGATCACTCTTATTTATGTCTTCCTGATTCTTTTTCCAGGAAGAAGTCTTAAAACGTTTCCACATTTAGTTTTGTTGTTTGCCAAGCCGCCGATGATGACAATTTTTCATAATAGTTTTTTCGTGAATTTATTTCTTCCTGAATTGTTTTTGTAATTTTTCTGTATATTCCTTATTAGTTTCACTAGTTATGATCGCTTTCTTGACTCAACATCAGGTCTTGTTGTTCGTTATTATTTGTTATTTTGATATTGTGATAGGCCCCTATGGGGTTAAAATCCGAATGCCTCGTTCTCGTGAAATAGCCTGTTAAAGGCAAATATCAAGACCAATGTAGATGAATGTCATTCATTGCAAACCTACTGTAGCAAAGGCGAAGGGCTTGTTCACAAGTCTGAGTATGGTATGAAGTGCCACTAGGTGTAAGGGCCTAAAGAGCGGTGATGCATGGCTTAGAGGATTTGTTTGCAACAACTTGTTTGCACCGCCCTCTAGCTCTCTTGTAACCTGCCGTAGTCAACAGATCAATATTTTTCGCCTAAACGTGAGTGCCATTGATAATCCATCTTCATTAAACCCTCCTAATTACGACCAGTCTCCTGGTATAGACACGAGTGGTTATGGACTACTTTCACACTTGAAACAGGTTTCAGATCGATTTTAGGTGGGGCGAGTGTTCGTCACAAAGTTTCGTTAGCCAGATCATCAACGCATCTGAAACAACTGTCACGTGGGGGTAAAATTTTTTCAATTATCTTTCGGGCCAATCCGTTAAAAAAAAAATTTCTCCTTAAGAAAGATGGTTATCTGAAAAAATTTTTTAATCTTGAACATTTTTTCAGTTGTTTTTCGGTTGTTTTCAAATTTTTTTTCGAGTATGCGATATTTGATATCTGCTTTTTTGTCTCATTAGGTTCTAACTCATTTAAAAAAATAGCCTTTTCATTTGAAAATTATAGACCAAACAAGCCTGAAGTATGATTTTAATTATGTTTTGGTTAGTAAAGTTGGTATGTCCTATATATTTTTTCATAAAGTATGGGTTATCTCCTTGGGAAAGATGATTATAGAGAAACAACTAAAATGTTGACAAAGTCTAACTTTTGAGATCACACTTTTCGTACCGTATCAGTATAGCAATTTCATTCATTATCAAACAGGTGCCTCCAGTTGTTTTTATCGAGACATACAAAAGTTTTCGTTCACCTGGTTTTTTCAATATCTATTTTTTTTTCGAGTGATTGTTTTTGTTTGTATAGTGTTGCATCTAGTGCGAAGCTCGGCTTCACATCTGTGTTTTAAAATTTTAAGGACTCTTCCCAAGCCGCCGATGATGACATTTTTTCATAATAGTTTTTTCGTGAATTTATTTCTTCCTGAATTTTTTTTGTAGTTTTTCTGTAAATTCTTTATTAGTTTCACTAGTTATGATGGCTTTCTTGACTCAACCTTAGGTCTTGTTGTTCGTTATTATTTGTTATTTTGATTTTGTGATAGGCCCCCATGGGGTTAAAATCCGAATGCCTCGTTCTCGTGAAATAGCCTGTTAAAGGCAAATATCAAGACCAATGTAGATGAATGTCATTCATTGCAAACCTACTGTAGCAAAGACGAAGGGCATGTTCAGAAGTCTGAGTATGGTATGAAGTCTGCCACTACGTACATGTCAGGTGTAAGGGCCTGAAGAGCGGTGATGCATGGTTAAGAGGATTTGTTTGCAACAACTGTTCACCGCCCTCTAGCTCTCTTGTAACCTGCCGTAGTCAACAGATCAACATCTTTCGCCTACACGTGAATGCCATTGATAATCCATCTTCATTAAACCCTCCTAATTACGATTAACCTCTTGGTATAGACACGAGTGGTTATGGACTTCTTCCACACTCAAAACAGCTTTGAGATCGATTTTAGTTGGGGCGAGTGTTCGTCATTAAGTTTTTTTAGTAGAGAAACAACTAAAAAGCTAGACAAATTCTAACTTTTGAGATCACTGTTTTCGTGCCGCATCAGTATAGCAAATTCATTCAGTATCAAACAGGTGCCTCCAGTTGTTTTTATCGAGATATACGAAAGTTGTTTTTAAACAACTTTCGTATCGAGATATACGAAAGTTGATTTTAAATTTGTTTTCGAGTATGCGATATTTGATTATTGCTGTTTTTCTCATTAGATTCTAACCCATTCAAAAAAATTGCTAGTTCATTTAAAAATTATAGACCAAACAAGCCTGAAGTTTTTTTTAAATTTATTTTTCGGCTAGTAAAGTTTGGTATGTCCTATATATTTTATTTTTCATAAAATATGTGTTATCTCTTTGGGAAAAATGATTATCTCAATTTTTTTTTAATCTCAATAATTTTTGTTGTGAAACTGCAAAAGTTTTTTTTTCAAATTGTTTCTCTACAAAACTCGAATCATTTGAAGTATTTTTTTTCAGTTGTTTTCGAATAATAAATTTTGGTATATTCTATATCTTTTATTTTTTATAAGATGAAATTCATCTCCTTGGGAAAGCTGATTCTCTCAAAACTTCTCAATCTTCCTAATTAGTTTAGTAGAGAAACAACTAAAAAGCTAGACAAACTCAACTTTTGAGATCACTTTTTTCGTGCCGCATCAGTATAGCAATATCATTCATTATCAAACAGGTGCCTCCAGTTGTTTTTATCAAGATTTACGAAAATGGTTTTTAAACAACTTTCGTATCGAGATATACGAAAAATGTTTTTAAATTTTTTTTCGAGTAGTCGATATTTGATTTCTGATTTTTTTCTCATTAGGTTTCAACTCATTCAAAAATAATAGCCAGTTCATTAAAAAAAATAGACCAAACAAGCCCGAAGTATTTTCAAGTCATTTTTTGGTTAGTAAAGTTTGGTATGTCCTTTATCGTTTATTTTTCATAAAATATGTGTTATCTCCTTGGGAAAGATGATTATCTCAAACCTTTTTTAATCTTCTCGATTATTTTAGTAGAGAAACAACTAAAATGTTGACAAAGTCTAACTTTTGAGATCAAACTTCTCGTATCGCATCAGTGTAGCAATTTCGTTCATTAAACAGGTGCCTCCAGTTGTTTTTATCGAGACATACGAAAGTTTTCGTTCGCCTGGTTTTTTCAATATCTATTTTTTTCGAGTGATTGTTTTTGTTTGTATAGTGCTGCATCTAGTGCGAAGCTCGGCTTCGCCTCTATTTTGAAATTATAAGGACTCTTCCCAAGCCGCCGTTGATGACAATTTTCATAATAGTTTTTCGTAAATTTTTTCTCACTGAATTTTTTTTTGCAATTTTTCTGTGTATTCTTTATTAGTTTCACAAGTTATGACCGCGTTCTTGACACAACATCAAGTCTTCTCGTTCGTTATTTTTTGATATTGTGATATGCCCCCATGGCTTTAAAATCCGAATGCCTCGTTCTCGTGAAAGAGCCTGTAAAACCCAAATATCTAGACCAATATAGAT